TGTTAAGGAACTAGGAGTCAGAAAAACACCAACTCCAAGCGCACTGACATTTTTCTGCCCTTAAAAAGGAGCTTCTATTAATCACTATTCCTGTAATTGTTTTGTTTACCTACTCTATATCTAACATAAGAATTAAGGGAAAGTTTCTTTATGGTCATTGATTATTATCCTATTAATCTTATCTATAAAACCTTTCTATGTGAAAAGAGGTCGGGGTGAAAGTTAAAGGAAAGAGTAGGAAAACTTATTATTTATAACTATTACTTAACATGAAACTATGTTACTTAAAACTATAGAGCTTTTATTGGGGACTGGGCAGGAAATGATTACAGCCTTTGGATCCCAGAAAACTTGGACCGTGAAATGTCTCATTATCATGGGACCTAGATTTGTGCCAGCCTACTTAAGCAGAGGAATATTATTATTTTATAACATATTGTGCTGTTCTGTGTACAATACTATTTTTTTAACCAATCAATCCAATCAAGTAATTATTGATTTTATAGTGAATGTATATTTGGACAATTGCTATGCTTCTTGGGAATGGCCAAAAACAAATCATACTTCTTGGAAATGAACAAACAATAATAAACAAACAAAAAGAATCCAGCAGGAGCCAGCTGTGGAATATCCTGACTTTTCAGGATTTTCCCCCCACATCAGGATCTTGTCACACAACATGGATAGCATGGCTCTCGCCAACGAAAATCCTAGAACAAAAGCTTCTGCTTTTCTGAAAGGATTTCTGAAGATATTTTGCATGACCTCTGAAGTTGTTAAACATCATTAAATATATTCATTTTATGTTTATATATAACATTCAATTTTATTCTTCCTATTTGTTGACTTCTTTGAGTTTGCTCACTAGGTTAACTTTTTTAATAACCCTATAGCTTTTTCTTTGTTGTGATTATCAGATATTGAGCGTAATATATATACTCTGGAAGAAGATACAATTGGAAGATACTTACTTGCAATGGCTCTCTCAGGACTTATTTTCCTTTTATTGATTTTCTATCTGGAGACAGCTTCATGGATAATACCCACCTTTGTGTTTCAGAACATTTTCTTTGGTGTCTACAAAATATTAAAAAAGGTGAGTGACCAGGTATGAATCTTGGATACATCTGTAAGACTAAATGTGTATCTCTACCCATACCTGAACTCCATTGTTGCATATTGAAATGTAAATCAATCCATGTCAACTGTGACTTATATGGATATATCTTCAGCCATAATTTTAACTCTTTGGTTTCTAAATATTATGGTTTCTATCCAGTGGAACATGATATTTTTGTAGTCTGATTGTAATAGATTTTTTGCCTAAACATCCGCTGTCTGGGGATGAACTTCCCTTCACCCTAATTTGCTCCCTGAATTGTTCTGACAACTGTTCAGATGATACTGATTTCTGCTGGCCCCCAGAACTGTTAGAAAGTCTTATGGGCTTTCCAACAGCTGTTCTTAAGTGTTAGTAATTATCAGAATCACTTTCAGGATATCTTAAACTACAAATGTTGGCCTCTGTCCTATGAGTTTTTAATTTAATGGATCTTGGAAGGGCCTGAAAATTTGCATATACAACACATTTTCTAGTGCTTCTGACTTTGCTGCGCACTTGGAGAACCATTTATTTTTTTAAATATTTATTTATGCATACAGAACTGGGGTACAGGCCAGAGGTGCAGGGGTGGTGAGAGGCTTCACCAGAGACAGAATGGGGAGCAGAACAGGCAGATCAATGAAGCACACTGCTGAGGGGAGCAGTGAGTGGGTCAGGAGAGGTCTGCCATGTCATATGGTCACCTTCGGGGCAGGTATTGAACTCATGCTGAAGTGGCTTTAGCTTCTTAGTGCTGTGCTATGAGGGAAATGATTGACAAAATTACTTGGTCTTGGCATTTTCTTTGGGGTAAAGCTTGTAATAATAGTCTCAAGTTACATGATATTAGAATATGAAAATATTCTCCACTTCTCTCATTTTCTACTTTTCAAATGAGGTGTCAATCTCACTTAAACCATCAAAATTATTGACACAAACCTCAGATGGCCAATGTTCTCCTGACTAAAAAAAGGAAAAATGGAGGTCTCACAGTTCTGTTCTTCAAACTATGCTGTAAAGCCTAATGATTAAAACAGCATAGTATTGGAACAAAAAACAGATGCACAGGCCAAAGGAATATGGACAACTAATATATAACAAAGAAACAAAGTGCATACTCAGCAACAAGGAAATCATCTTCAATAAATGGTGCATGTAAAAGAATGAAATGAGACAATTATCTCACACCATACATGAAAAATCAATAGAAAATGGATAAAAGATTTGGATGTAAGACCTGAAACCACAAAATAAATAGAAGGAAACATAGAAAAAACACATTTGTACACTCACCTCTAAATCAAAATTTTTTCAAGATAGAAAGTTGAAAATTGAAAAAGAATATGTACAAGTCTTATAAAACTCTTTCCATTATGCCATGCCCACTTCTCTCTTTGATATCCTATACCCTCATCAAATTATTTTTAGAAAGTAAGCGCAGGCTTTATGTTTATATGAAGCTATCTCTGAATTTCCCTATTCCTCCCAGGAGAATTAATCTTTTCCTACTTTGAGTGCTGTTGAGCTCTTCCAGAATATGCATTATTATTAACAAACAACACTTAGTTGTAACTAGTTTCTGTTGTGCTTGCAGTTTTAGTGATGTATCCATCTTGAAGGACATCCTGCCTTGCTCATGACTGAGAATACTAGTTTTAGACTTTGGAAGTGGGGGATGAAAGCTCAGGTGATATGCAGGAAGTCTGTTGATAATGACTCATATCTTTTGACATCTTTGAGATTAACTGCAGTTTAATCTTCCTGAAGTCAGCTGGTGTGGGCCAGGTACCTATCTCTACCATTCTTATCTTGAAAATATAGGATAGCGTAGCCACAGAACTATCTGGAGAATCTAAAGATGAAGATGTAGAAAATGAAAGAAAAAGAGTACTGTCACAACCTCTGAAGATGTTGAATGCCACTGTGCTTATTAAGGAACTCATCAAGGTAAAATTATTTAATGTCCAATTGATTCCTAGCTTAAAAAAAAAACTGTTAATGTCAAGAACTTACTAGTTGTTGGAATCTGTGTGATTTCTCACAATGAAAGAGTTCTAGTGAAACTGAGGTCCATGGGGGAATGACATGTTTATATTTGACATTTAACTATTATTCATTGTGTTTTGTTTTCTGTATTTTAAGATATTTTTTACATGGCCACCAGTTTTGGCTGTGAGAAATATTTCACTTGCAATTGAAAGGCAGGAGTGTTTTGGGTTGCTTGGATTAAATGGAGCTGGAAAAACTTCTACCTTCCAAATTCTGACTGGAGAGGAGACTGCTACTTCTGGCAGTGTGTTCATAGACAACTATAGCATCACTAGGAATGTCCTAAAGGTAGGACCCTACCACAGGCTGAGATGTAAACAGCATAATGACTTGGGGTGAAGGTGAGAACAAGAAGTGGGAGATCACATATATAAATCATGGGAGTCATTGATATTGATACTATTCACTTGCTCAGTGGATTTTGGGTTTAGTTCTTTTTGTTATGTATACAAATATACATCATTGTTCGTTTCCATACAATGTTTTGATTTCTTTTTCAGGTGTAGTTCCTATTGGTTTTGGTTT